CATATTATATAGACTACACTAACGTGCCGTTTAGGCGGTTCGTTTAACCATTATACGTGAGGTACGTTTTTTTGGGGAGTGGTTAATGAAAGTGTTCCAAAACGCGACATTAATTTCTTGACGACCTAATATTTGATACATACTACTTTTTACCAAACCTTCTGTATGAGAAACTACAGTTCAGTTGAGAGGCACAAAAATCAGCATAGTTTTGTTTTTGAGAGCTAAGAATATTTCTATGTGACACGCAGTAGAACACTAAGTCAAACTATACATAATTTTAGCTTCTTTTCTATCTTTCGGTAAAAAGAAAAATCAATTTTTGGAAACCGTACTAGGGGCTTTAAAAGTTACGTTGGTTCTTATAATTATTAATTAGAGCTTCTGAGTGAAAGTAAAGAAAGGCGTACAATAATATGTCAACCACACTTGTAACTGTTATGTCCGGGGCTAAGGAGGCGTTGAACCTTTATTTCCACTAACAAATTACTTGATAAGAACTGTTACGGTGTAATCTGAATTAAATTGAAGTGTACTATTTGTTTGTAGTTAAGCACAAAGCTACACAATGGGCTATCTGTGCTCTGCCCACCACGGGTATTGAAACCCGAATTTGAAGTGTAATTAAGCATAAGTTTTAGTTATGTAACCAGACATCAGAATTAAGGTTAAGATCTTTGTAACACTCTTATTTATTTAGTTTAACCCCATATATTACTAATTATTATTTTCTTGAATTGATCTCCTCATGATTTAGAAAGTAAACTTTCTTCTTAGACATACAATAAAATACTAGCAACTTTAAATGTGCAAGTTGATGTGATTTTGATTTTTAATGTCTATTAAACAGGAACTTTATCCCCAGTGGCACAGCCGAGAGTCTGCGGACTTGTAACACTAGAAACCGGGTTTCGACATCCGTGGTGAGCATAACATAGATAGTCCAATTTGTAACTTTGTGTTTAACTATAAACAGACAAATAAAAATAGGAATGAAGGTTCTGATTCGCCCGCACTATAAAAATAGACAACAAATTTAGACAACAAATCGAAAGTTTAAACAAGCACTATATGAAACATGTAAAGATTCCATTAAGGATTAAGAAGGAATTAGATCATGGGATATTCGTTGCTTATTACTGAGAAAATTGAAAAATAGCAAGTTTGTTAGCAAATAGTCGATATTTTAAAATTAAAACCGAAATTCGTACCACGTTAGTTAGTTTGTGGCAGTTGGGTTTTAGGATAATTAATGTAAGGAACCCTGGCTGGTACATTAATTATAGGACGATAAAGGTAACACTAGATAAAAAGTATGAAAGTATGCTCGTCCAATTAGTGCACCTTGGAGTTTCCGATACGACTCCACAGAACTACAGAAAAATTACAAATACGTGAATAAAGTATATTCAGGGTAGGTACGTGGATACAAAGATAAAGTATATTCAGGGTAGGTACGTGGATACAAAGATAAAGTATATTCAGGGTAGGTACGTGGATACAAAGATAAAGTATATTCAGGGTAGGTACGCGAATACAAAGATAAAGTATATTCAGGTTATGTGGTACGAAAAGGTTTTCTGGATAATAATAACAAAACACAGACGCAACGCATATTCGTAAGCACGTTTAATATCAAACTGCATTTTTTTAATCAACAAGAACGGTCTCAGGGTCACGCCTTCTCCTTTTTCACGTCCAACCTGAATAACAACTTTATATTGACTAAAAGTGAGAAGATAATCAGCTAACCACGAGATACATTCGCTATAATTATTGTTCATAAACCTTGGGAAAACAACCAATTTACTTTGGGATACTGTCACTAAAACTACTACTAAAACTCTGAGATTGTTTGTTTGGTTGGTTGCTTATTTTCTCAGTCAAAAAATCATTCACACTATTGTTCGCGCTCTTTACGAAACTTCTTACTTCACTTTTATGAAAAATTAAATGGTCTTTCCTTTTACTCCCGATCATCAATCAAATATCTTTTCTTTAATTATGAATAACACGAATGGATTGAAATATTTAATTAAATTATCTTAAAATAAATCTTCATTTCGATGCAATATCGAAATTGGCTTGAATTCTTCATAACCTCTGAACAGTGGTTGAGCCAACGGGTCACGGTGGTCTAGTTGTTCATAAAACGTGGGAAGATAACAAGATTACCACGAGATACAGCCACTACAGCGACTGTTGACATAATTTAAGAAGACAACCGAACTGACTGCGGGATACAGTCATCAAAAGAAACAATTCACAAAGCATGAGAATACTGCTAACTAACCACGAGGTACACTAAAGTTATTGTTTACAAATAATAAGGTTTAAAACCAAAATGGAACTAATTAAATACATTTTGTGTGCAACAGTCAAGTCTCTGCGTGTTCAGAATATTGTAAACGCTCAGGTTACGTGACTTTGTTAAATTACCAGTCTCCTAGAAAATGGTTCAACCAGCGCTATTTTTATAAGCATTTATACCCGCTAAATTAAGTTAATTATTAAGCAATAACATGAACATTTATCAGTCGATGTGTTGTTATATTCGTGTAAGTATCAAAAACAGTGAAACACGTAGATATTAATTAAAATGTACTGCTTGTATGTTTGAAGATAGGAAGCTAAAACGGATGTGGTGTTAGGTTTTTTTGTGTTTTTTTATTGAGCAACACACAGGATAAGCGACCAGATCAGAGACCACTAAGATCTTGACATAGCCATACCTAATATAACACTGTTGACACGTGTGGTTAGTAACCAGATAGTGGTATCCGCCGCCTACGCGGCTACTTTTAACCAAGGTGGTATTAACAGTTACTGTTATAACTCTTCCACGTGTTCAGAGCGGCATATTTAATCTCGATCTACATCCCGACACGCTAATTACTAGGACACACCTGGCCCGAAACAAATGTGATAATGTAGAGTCTATATAAAAACCTCTTCAACAATGAAGAAAAAGTGATTGGTGTAGCTCAACTTGTTAATAAGATGAAGGGTGAACAGTTCACTAACGTAGACGTAAAAACGGTCGAGGTAGGAAAACTTAACACGAATGTTTGATTAAGGTCATGCTAGATATGTTCTGTGATCTTTCTTACAAAGGAGATCTTCAACAATGAAGAAAAAGTGATTGGTGTAGCTCAACTTGTTAATAAGATGAAGGGTGAACAGTTCACTAACGTAGACGTAAAAACGGTCGAGGTAGGAAAACTTAACACGAATGTTTGATTAAGGTCATGCTAGATATGTTCTGTGATCTTTCTTACAAAGGAGATCGGCAGAGACAAAACGGGAACCCTTGGCTTTTTGTTGTTGACCTGTGGGAAAGATCACTTGTTCGTTCTGTCAACTATATTTCGCTCATACTACAGAAACGACAAGTAAGGCTACATACTTCAAACAAAAATACTATATAAAGAATGCAACCAACAGAATAATACATTTTATTCGTATTTAATGTACCTCGATCATGAAAGCAGAGCTGTTAGTCATGACGTTTTGGAAACCATACTTCATTGAACTCTATTATGCATGATTTATTAATCATAAATATATATATTTTTTTTATTATAAAACTGATAAAATCTCAAACATTAGAAAACCATTTATCGGAGGTAATTTACCACATCTAAGCTTCAAATGAGACAAGACATAAACTCTCCTTCTCGCTTTTTAGGGCTGCAGGGTCGGATTAAGGTTCAATGGGGCCGTAAGTCCAGGAAATATTTGGAAATAATAATAATATCAACTCACATTCACTTCTATTCTGCTAGTTATACGAACCATACTTTTTTACTTGGGTGTCTGGTGGGGCCCTTGTATGGCTGGGACCCAGGCTTAGGTGGCCTATGTGTTAATCCGGTACTGGAGGGCTGATAATCTTAGATTTAAACTTAAAACCGAAACAACATTAATAGATACTACTAATAAATTCCTCATTAATGGGCAAAACTTTAGCTACAATATTTCTCATTAGAAATACTTTTAACTTACGTAAAAAACAACAACAAAAAAACGGTTTCTCATATCAGTAATGGCAAATTAATGTTACTTAATTAAAGAGAGGTATGTGAGACAAAGTGAAGACTAAAATACAGCCGCGAATATTGAAAAGAAGTTCGAGTTCATTTTTATTGCATTTCTTTGTTCATCGCGATATCTACCACGTGAAATTTTTTAGGGTAACTTACATTATCAACGCAGCAGGAGTAATGAACATTGTTGATAACATTAAAATCTGTCTCATTTCCCGTCCAGTTGAAGGTCTGTAAAAAGAAGGAAGAAGTTATGAAAAAGTCAAAAATAAGTAAAACGTAATAAAATCTGTTAAAAGCATTCATTATTACTACACAACAAAACAAGCTATGTAAAAAGATTAGTTGTAATAATAAAATAATTGCGTAAGTGAGGAAATAACAAATGCCAAAATAGAATATAAAGCAGTTGTAAAATAACTGTTATTAAGAAAACACGAAAACAACGTTTCGGGCAACAGCTCTTCATCAGGTTTCCAGTGAGAATGAAACTGTTAATACAAGGGTTAGGTTGAAAGAACACATAACACGTGCTTATATACTGTTCTGGAGCCTTCGAGTCTAGTGTTACTTGTTTTTTTCTATTTCGTATTATGTAAAAAAAGTTAATTAAACTTTTTCTATACAAGAAATCATTATGATTATAAAATAACAAAATTACGTGTAGGTTATCATCTACTGTAAAGTAGTGATAGTTGCAAAAAACATTTTCACCTAACGAAATGTTCATTAGAAAATATTCTTAAACACATCTCGTGAAGACTGAGTACTTGAGCTAGCAAAGCATATTTCCAAAGTGTTCTCAATTTTTGAAAATGTTATTCTTAATAACGTGCAGCAAACAGCTGTAAATCTTATCCATTGTGAGTGCCGCAGGGAATAGTTGTAAATCTTGTCCATTGTGAGTGCCGCAGGGAATAGTTGTAAATTTTATCCGTTGTGAGTGCCGCAGGTAATAGTTGTAAATGTTATCCATTGTGAGTGCCGCAGGGAATAGTTGTAAATTTTATCCGTTGTGAGTGCCGCAGGGAATAGTTGTAAATCTTATCCATTGTGAGTGCCGCAGGGAATAGTTGTAAATCTTATCCATTGTGAGTGCCGCAGGGAATAGTTGTAAATCTTATCCGTTGTGAGTGCCGCAGGGAATAGTTGTAAATTTTATCCGTTGTGAGTGGCGCAGGGAATAGTTGTAAATTTTATCCGTTGTGAGTGCCGCAGGGAATAGTTGTAAATTTTATCCCTTGTGCGTGAGACAGGGAATAGTTGTAAATCTTATCCGTTGCGAGTGTCGTAGGGAAATAGTTGTAAATCTTATCCATCGTGAGTGGTACATGTCAGTTGTGCTCGGTTTTATAGTGATGTATCCTAATAGTTCTTTTCTTTACAATTGTAATTGGATTTGTTACTTTTTAAATTTGTTGTTAAGCACAAGGTAACCCAGTGGGTTATATTTGCTGTATCTACCACGAGTATCGAAACCCGATTTTTAGCGGTGTGAACCCTCAGACTTACCGCTCAGCTACTGGTGGCTTGATTCATTTGACAATTAAACCTAATATAATTTAAATAAAAGGAACATTTGCGCCCACCTCAAACTTTTGTTAAATGTTTGTTGATGAATTGGGTATTAAAACTATTAAATGGAACTGCGAAAAGACTGGAAAATACTTTTGAAGGAATTACTATTTTTTTTTAAACACTCACTCTTGGACTGCTCACCTACATTTGACGCTTCTAATCTAAGCTATTACAGTAGTTAAAACTGTAAAACAACATCCAAATAAAAACATACAAGGTAGAAAAAAAGGGTTATCATATTCCAAGTATAAATATTGACAATCATAAATTGGTATAGTTTCATTTTCAATTTCAGAAGAAAAAAATCGAGCATACTAAGTTCATTATATCTTTATTTTAGACTCTACTCCTTTTTTGTTACGTCCCCAGGTAAGATTACGGATATACAGCATTAAAATTCGGGGTTCGATTCCCCTGTGGTAGATAGAGCTTAGATAACCTATTGTGTGGCTTTGAGTTAAAACACGCCTTGTTTTTTACATAAAATAGATGACGTCCTCGAAAAGAAATTTCAGTGCGTCTGTGGAAATCCTTTCTTTACCAAAGCAACACATGTGTCTTACCTTCACTCGGTAATCCATCAAAACAATAAATAGTATTACTTAGAGCACAATAAACTTTATGGTTGCATGTACGTCTTTAGTGAATAACTATCTGTAGTGCTTAAATTAAACTCCTACCACCTGGTGATCTTATCTCTGGTAAACACGCTCTTACGCTAGGAATGCCAATCATATGCTAAACGACACAAACATAATTGTATTACAGTGTGTCAAAAGACGTTTTGTAATCAGTAGGGCGCTCAACTAATAACAATTACCTTTGAAGTGGATTTTATCTACTTAAACTCATATTAGGATTTAGTTAAATTATTCTCCAGTATATCAGTATATATACATATATATTAGGTCGTCAAGAAATTAATATCGCTTTTTTAGATGACAAAACTTATATATCAAAACAAAACATTCATTAAACGAAATAGTCTCCATT